CCTACTCACCCGGTCCCTATTCAATCCCGGCCCTCCTGGCCCCATGGGACCCCCGGGTCCCGCTCCAGCCGCTCCCCGTCCCGCAGCCTTGGACCCGATCCCAGCGCTCGCGGCTGCTCCCGGTGGAACGGGAATTTCCCTCCGCTCCCTCCCGGGGCAGGCGATCGGTGCTTCATTACCGCGCCTTGGCCGGCGCCACCCGGCTCTGAATGCGCTTTCACCCCACAACCCTGAAAATTGAGCTGTCCAAGTCCTCAATTGTATTTAAGGCCAAAATCAGGCAGATTTTGTTAATATAAGAATGCTGACATGGGTTTGGAACAGCCATGCTGGGGGTCTGGGACAGCCAAGCCAAACTAGGGAGGTTTGTCAATGCTACAAGCGTCCTCTAATATCAAGAATGAGAGGAATTCACATTTAAAATAAATATTTGAGCCTGTTTATAAATCCTGTCTCTCCACCACCACATCTTGCCCACATCAGACCCAGGCCGGTGTGGTTTGATAAGTGACTTTATCACAGAATCTCAGAATTACACCTGGTTTGGGTTGGAAAGGACTTTAAAGACGATCCTGTTCCAACCCCAGGCACTTGGGCTCAGTTAACCCAAAAAACCCCTAAACATTGATATTTTCTGTCCCCACTGCTTCAAGCCTGCAATACTTTGGCTGCAGAAAATGTCACCTGAGGGGGCGTTTTCTGTCGCTTCTTCCAAGGGGAGGAATAAAGCAGCGGTTAATTACCGTGTGCAGCACCGACCTGCCTTCCTTTCCCTGCGATGGAATCAGAGTCGCCAGCACGACACCGACTGCTCCAGCAAGCAGAACACAAACTGCGTGTGACACCTGCCTGTGCTTGGCACGGAGCAGCAGCCGGCTGCCAGCACATTAAAAACGTATGTTTGATTGCAAACTCCCTCCTTTCCTGCTCTGCTCCGTGTGCTAACCCACCCCGCCAGGCAGGGCTTTCCTCTCTGCACTCCCCGCCTCGCTGTGTCCATCTCTGCCCTTCTCTTCCCTCTCCTCTTCTGTTCCCTCTGATCCTGCTCCTGCTGCCCACGAGAAATTAAACCTTTGCTCCTGTTGTTTGGGATTCTCCCTTTGCTTTTCTCTGTTTTCCCATTTCTTTGCATTTTTGTAGTTTCTAAACCCCAAATTTCTTCTTCATAACCCTGTTTTCAGCTGGAGCTTTGCCATTCTTTTGCATCCTTTGGCTTTTCATCTGGAAGTGATACATTTTATTAATCAGCCAATAAAGCTTTTCCTTGGCTTATTTTTCTCTTGTCCCTCTTATCCACAGCTTTTCCAACAAGAGCCTTGTTCACCTCTTTCCATATTGATTGGGTTTTTATTTCTCATTTCCGTGTCTCGGTACTGCCTGGTAGTTTCTTGATGCCAGCAACACGAAGCCAGTTCAAGAGATTGAAGCAGAGCTTGAATCATCCAGCTGTTGATCCTGCTGGTGGACCACACCACATCCCAAATCTCTGGCCAGAAGTTGAAGGATAAATGCAATTTACAGCCCAGCAAACACATCCAATGGCCAGCTCTGAGCCTTGCTGCTTGTTGGTTTTAACCCCACCATTGCAATAAGGCTGATGGTAACTCAAGTATAAGATTCAGAGTTGGAATGAGTTGAAATGGGCCCAGCAGCCACACACCCTCCAAAATATTTATATATTTATCCATTGAATATTAAATGCATTCAATATTTAATAATAGATATAGTATATAACATACAATATCTATAATATATAATATATAACATGTAATATTTAATAGATAATATCCAATATATTAGAGATATAATATAATATATAGCAGACAATTAATATAATATAATATAATATAATATAATATAATATAATATAATATAATATAATATAATATAATATAATATAATATATAACATGATTATATTCTGTGTTCTCTAGTCTACATTCTATATTATATACTATGTGTTATATATTACATATTACATAATACATAACACAGGAAACAATGTTATATGTTATATATAATATATTATATATTATATATAATATATATATAATATATAATATATAATATATTATATATTATATATTATATATTATATATTATATATTATATATTATATATTATATATTATACACAATGTTTGATAATATTTATTTGCCCAGCCCACATGGTATCACAGCAAGGCTGCAGGTTTCTCTGAGCACAATGAAGGCAAATGGTAAACCCACAGATAAGGGAAACTGAGGAAACCAACCCCGTTGGCGTGGTATTTCCAATCACAACCTTCACCAGAAATTTCTTCAACCCATCTGCAACAAAACTCATCATCCTAAACCCATCCCTCTCCTGCATCTCAGCCTCCTCCCAGCATTAGGAATGCCTTGCTGGGGATTTGCCTTGCAAACTGCTCCATCAGCCCATCAGCTGGATGCAAAGATTTGATTTTATTGCCAAAGAATCATTTATTGCTGGCTTAAAATAACTTTTCCTTCTAGATTTTACCTGCTGGGATTTGGTCCCATTTATTGCTTGTGCCAGAGTTGCATTGCAGCTGGAAAAAAGAACAGAAAATGGGAGAAAGGCAATGCTGGGTACAAAAGGTGAAATAAAAAACATGGGAGAGCAGCAAATATTGAGGATTTTTGTGTTGTTTACATGACTCTGGGAGAAGTTTCATATTTGTGGTGGTTTTTCCAGGGTAACCGTTGATGTAGGGATGTTTGCTGGTGTCACACATCCAGGTTTCTCCAAGAATTTTGATTTGCGCCATGTGGCATTGGCACCCAAACTTTTGTGCTGGGGACAGGACACATCAAAGTGATGGCAAATGATGCAGTGATGGTTAATTCCAGCTCCAGTGTGTTTGATATCCATAATACAGGTATTATAAAGCCTTTCCTGGCAAGGCTCTCAAGCAATAATCTTCTTTAAATAAGGAGAAGCAGAGTCATACAGATGCTGTTGGGTGCTTGTTGCCCAAAAACCCCAATTCAAAGGATTTATTGGGCACAAATAATTCAGTGTTCTCCAGTGGATGGGTGCTGCTGTCCTGCCAAGGAAAAGCAATGATTTGAAGGCTGTGTCATCTCTGCAGAGAGTTTTTCCCAAGGAGGAGATCAGGAATATTCTATTTGCAGGGACTCTCATGGCAGGAAAGAACGATTAATCTGACTCCATGTTCTTGGAAGGCTAATTTATTATTTTATGATACTATATTATATTAAAGAATATTAAACTAAATTATACTAAAGAATACAGAAAGGATATTTACAGAAGGCTAAAAA